AAATGATGAATAATCATGCCTCGATCTGGAAGTTAGGTCATATATTTAATACTTTAATTGATACTAATGCACTTTTCCTAGGAGTAAATTGTGACGTTAATTAATAAAAATGTATTATTGTTCAATCCATTGATTTTTCAACTTGGACAAAGAATGAAAGAAACATATGAGCATGTCCTTTGACCAACACTATTAATGTCTCAAAGAAATTATCAATATAATCCTACGTCCTTGTAACAACAAATTTCGTGTATTGAATTTAAAACACGAAAAATATTATTCAAATAAATTTCTCGAATCAAAATAATATAGCGGGTTACAATCTCTAATTTCTCCTCTGATTCTTCTCACGAACAATTTTAAATCTTGGAGCGAAATCTTCGGCTTGATCTTCTCCTTGACTTGATTTGACTTGAATTAACGTTAATCCGAGGGCCAACGCCTTGATTTCGGATCAAACGTCGAAATATCCCAAGAACGCGAAGAACACGAATTCTTGGTCTTCGTCGCAAAGTAGATCTTGAATCTTCTTCACGCCGGTTTTGAATTTACTAACGTTATTCGGAGGCTTCGCAGCTTGTTTCCGGATTGAACGCCAGTCTTGAGGTTGAATGCGCTTGAATCTTGCTTCGAATCTTCAAAAACGCCTTTGAATCTTCAAGAACACTTGAATCTCGTCGAGAGAATTCTCTAGAGCTCTTGAACTTTGAATATGAAATATGATGTGTGTTTTTGACATTAGGGAGAACCCCTATTTATAGGTGTAGGATGGAGAACCCTACCAAATTTAAGAATCGTAGGACACGATTTGATTGGTCCATGATGATTCACATAAGATCTTTTAGATCTACTTAGATCTTCCAAGATCTTCTAGATGTCATATGATTTATTACCAAGAATTAAGATTTGACACTTGGCATTATTTGATTGGTCAAGAATTAAAATATTAAAATATCAATTAATTAACTATTTAAAATTAGGAATTAAATTTATGGAAATTCCTAAAATATAAATAGAAAATATGACTTGATTTTTAATAAATTAATTTCCACGTGGCGCCATTTGATTGGCCACAAATTTTATGTCTCTACAAATGCCCCCTCGAGACTTGTTCACGGACGACCTGTCTTGGAGTGAATAAGTCGCGACTTCTTTATTGGGCCTTTTATATGCAAATACCAAATCAAATTCCGCTCCTTAAATATAAATTGGGCCTCAACTATCACACGACCCATCTCCTCTCAACCTTCTCAAATACATTTTTGGCCCATTTAATTAAAATCCCTTGCAGCATCATATCATTGCTTCAGGAAAGAAATAAAATTGTCCTCAACATAAGGAAAATATTTCTACCTGTACGTTTTCATAGCAGCAAGACCGACATGGACAAACCCTCAGCATTATCATGTGCAAGCCTCAACATAATAAAAAAAGATTGTTTCCATCCTCAAATATCCATTCTAATTTGATCAAATATGCACAGTTATTTCCACAAAATCAACCCATGTATGATGGGGCAAATAAATACTTTCCAAGTGAATTCATAACACATGCATGCTGGCCACGAAAAAAAGAATATATACGCATGAGCATCAATTAATTTCAACTTTGGAATTGAAATATTTAGTTTCCAAACAGGTAAACTCCACAGATACGTACACAGGCCTTGAGTATATGCTCTTGCATCACATAATATTTTCTTTCCAACTTCAAACATGCGTCCCGTATCTAGACCAATTCCTCCTCATATTAGGAGACAAATTTTCCTAAATTCACATAGTGAATCCTCTCTTTTAGAGGACAAAGCATCACTTTCTGTATCTATAAATAGGCCTTCACTTCTCAATTCTTTTTTTCACATTCGAAGCCCGACAGGTACTTCAGCTTTTCTTCTACTTTTTTTTTCGTGATACTCTTTTTCTTTTGGTTATTGAGTGCTGAACTATGTTCCTCTTTTTCTTTTGATTATCGGGCGTATTACATAACAGAATCCGTAAGCACCATCTCTCAAGCTTTTGACTGCAAGCTGTTCGACAGATTGGCCGAAAGGTAATAGCAAACTGATTTTTCATTATCTTCCCGTTCCGTCTTCTTTCTTTCTGTTACATTTATGTTCGAGTTATCATTCGGGATATCCGCAAAGCTTGTCGGGACGCTCTTATTGCTGTCGGGGCTTCTTACGAGATGTCGGGGCTTCATATGGGCTGAAA